TCTTGGCTGGGTGACACAGCAGACGTTGGTGCTAATAATTGCAAGTGGGACCTCTGGGAGCTAAACCAGAAGGTGGGAAGGATAATGGATGTCAAGTGTCCTTGGGATGTGGCCGCAGGAAACTACCCAGGAGGCATGGAGAAGTATAAACCAGGGTTCGAGGTGATGATGAGAAAGAAAGAGAGGTTTATTCGGTAGGTGGGCCCTGGATGGCAGCAACTGACTAGGATCATAAATACCTAAAAGAAGTCAAAGTCAAGGGGCTGGGGATTTAGCTCAGCGGCAAAGCGCCTGTCTGGCAAGCGCGAGGTCGTGAGTTCGGTTCCCGGTACCGGAGAAAAAACAAAAAAAAAAAAAAAAAGTCAAAGTCAAAAGATCTAAAGGAAGAAGGAGAGGAAAAAAGGAGGACAAGTCCTGCAGTGGCGTGGAAAGGAAAGAGGCAGTGTCCCAGAAGATCACCATGGTAACATGGTCACACTGTCCCTCAGGCATGTTGTTCCACGTGATGAACACCTACTTCCCTGGCCCTACACCACCCCTCCATGCAGAACCCCTGGTATTCTCCCACTCACCCTTCAAAACCCAGTTTATAGGCAAAAGTTCCTGCTTCAAGTGCCCACCCAGCCAAGCCCTAGGAGCTGCTTCTCCATTATTTCTTTGTTGCTGTGATTCCAACCTCTGTCACTGCTGGGCTGTACTTCACTCACAGTGCTTGGCTTTGCACAAAGGACTTCACACTTTTGTATCTCTCCGTATTTGCTCCCTTTGGTAGTGGCCTCCTGTACTGGCTTTCCTATGGGTCATATTTTGACCACTGGAATAGCACCAAGGCTGATTTCAGTGAGGCTTGAAAGTCCTTGAGTCTTTTGATTTTGTTGAACTCCTGCTACCACCAGCAGACTTGTCTGGACTAACCTGTTGGAGGGAGGGAGGCTACTTGGCTCAGGGCCAAATCATCCTAAAGTCAGACTTTAGCTTAGACAAATAGCTGAATTCATGGGCAATGTTCTGGAGTGGTTTTCTCCACATCAAGAACTGACATAGGGCCAGGGGTATAGCTCAGTGGCACAGCGCCTGCCTGGCAAGCACTGCCTGAGTCCAATTCCTGGTACTGCCCCCCCCCAAAGGAATTCATACAATCAGCTGTCATGACTTACACATCTTTTCAGCTCCAGAGCAGTAGCTCAATGCTCATGTGGCCAGTGCCCCACAAATATACCTTAAACAGAAATGCACGGAAGAGATGGAATTAAATTCCATACATACCGGTGAACTGAAAAGCAAAGCAGAGATGGAATGAATCTATTACAGAGCGTGTTTTCCCTCTCCTCTCTTTCCATCAGATATCATGACTATGCCCTCACTTTCCCTCGAACTCTTACCTCTGAGATCCCGGGAGTAGGGGCTGCAGGGGCGGCTGTGGGAACTCCAGCATGCGCAGTGTGGCTTGAAATCCACAGAGCGGGCAGCATGGCTTCCTCCTTGGCCGGCTGCCCCCTGCGCGGTGAGCAGAACAGCCACGCCAAAGTGGCAGCCGCAGTGTGGGAGCCCAGCTCTGCTGCCATAAATTACCCAGGGGCAGGAAGGAGCAGCAAGAGTCAGTGGTTTCAACTACCTAGTAGTTCATTTTTGTTCTTGTTTTCCAGTTAGCAATCTGTAAAATTTATTGCAAAATTAAGCTCTCTGCTCCAGAGTCAATAATATTCCTGGTGCCAGGTGGTGTAATAATTCACAGAAAGGGCAGAAGTTGGAGGGAATGAGACTGATTTAGGAAGTAGACTTCCAAGCCCTATTTGCTGCTGCCTGCTCCCTGCTGCTAAAGGTCAGGTAAGTAGAGGGCTAAGGTTACAGCCTCATAATATCCTTAGAGGGCTAGAATTTCTATTGGGTTTGAAATTTAAAACAAGAACTATTTCTCTTGCGTGATGGATTCCTTGTATCCTTCCCACCTCTGTTTCCATTTTAGCATAAAAATAGAAACATTCAATTTCATATCTTGCTTCTGGCAGTGCAAGGAAGAGATCCTGCAGAAAACTTGGCATTTTGCAAGGTTCCTATAGTGCCTTCTAACACCCTAACATCAGTCTCTCTGAAATAGAAGCCCTTGAGATCTCTCTAATCCAAGTTCTTCATTTACACATGCAAATTGCCAGGCTCAGTGTAGTTGAGGAATATTTAGGTCCTGTCCAGAAACTCCCGTGAGTCTAAATCCTTGATCTGAGGCCCAGGGCACGTGCCAACTTCTCCACTCCGCTTTCTGCCACTGAAATGACTGCAACTTATCACTTTTATTCTTCTCAATTGTATACTGTACCTTTAAAGATGTGTGCCTTTTCTCCTATTATTTTTTAAACAGTCTTAATTTTGTGTCTGGTTATATAAAAGAATCATAAGTTACTCTCCCCACCGTCCCTACCCCCAGCTGCAAGGGATAAGTCATCACCACCAATTTACTAATGTTTAATTATCTGTACAAATTAACTCCTTGAAGTTTGATGGTTGAAATGCTGTGTTAACATAGCTATTGCCATGGTCTCTTTGTGAAATGCCTACCAAATCACCATTCCAGTCTTGCTTGCAGGTTTGGTATTTCTTGGGGATCATTAAGCATTTGGGAATTGCACCCTACAAATGAAATATATATAGATTTCTTATTCAACATCACCATCTGTTCTTTTAGAAAATATACATGGAGTTTCACTTCTTATTTAAAATATATTTCTCAATGCTTTATTGGTTTTAAAGCTTTCACCACCAGTTTGAGATTGGCCATAAAGCTCAGATTAGGAGGAATTGCTTTGATGTTTTCAAAGTCAAGAAAGAATTTTACACCTCCCTGAGTAGCCCTTGACTGCAGGTAAAGAATGCACCTCTTTGGAGAAAGGTACCAATTACAACTAATTGTTCACAATCTGATTGATGCATCGGAACCATACAGTTTCTCATTGAGGTTGCTATCATCTTCATAAAATGAAAATTTAGTTGAGTCGCAAGTTGTGGATTGGAGGAGCCCCTGCATTCTATATCTGACCACAAGGCTAAGGTCAATATGTTAACTACAAGGGGCAGTGTAAATTCCCCTTGCTGCTGCATTCCTGCCCTCTTCCCTTGTAAATCCGGGGTGGCTCAGAGGAGCTGGTTCTCTGGGGGAGGAATGCGATCTCACCTCTCCAGAGCTGATGTTTCTCCCCAGCTATTTGCGTGGGGTGGGGGTGGGGTGTGTGTGTGGTCTTAGGAACTGGAGCATTGTGAAGCTTTGTAATCTGACCTGAGACTAGGCTAGTGGAGCCTGGCTTCAGAATGCACTAAGACCTTGAAACTCAGCCCAAATTGATTATAATTCAAGTCTGTGGGTCTCTTCAAGTGTACTAATTGTGTTAAGTTGTGGGTGGAAACGACGAAGAACTGGTACTTTGAAAGTCTCCAGCTTGGTTGAATTTTATATCTAAGATAATTAAACATTTGTTCCTTTCAGAGATTTAGGTCAAAACTCAAGAAAATGAAGAATTGAAAAGAAAATTATAAAGGAACAGTCATCAATTAAATAGATACCCATTTCAGAGATTGTTTTCTGATCTAGCAAGAATTGGAAATTATCTTTTCAAATCTTTCTACCAGTGTGTTCAAAGTATAGCTGAGAGATTGTTTTAAAAAACTGGGAAAGGGGCTGAGTGTGGTGACACACACCTGTAATCTTAGTGCTTGGGCAGCTGAGGCAGGAGGATCTTTGCAAATTTGAGGCCAACCTGGGCTACAAAGTATGAGTGCAAGGCCAGCCTGAACTGCATAGTGAAACACTGTCTAAAAAGGAGAAAAAAAATTGGAAAAGGCACTGACGACATATATCAAGTCATCTCAAAGTAGGGATTGTCTATACTCAAACTTTTAATTCTTCTCTCTTTGTGTGTCCATAGTAAGCACTCAATAATCTACTGGTAACGTAATTGAATGAAAGACTATCACAAATGTTATTTAAAATTTCATATTCAGCTGTCTTTCTCAGCTCTGAAACATGGGTTCTCTTCATTCATCTGTCTACTGAGTGTCCTGGGGACCCAGTTTCAAAAGGTCAGCCTTTCAGGATCCAGGTCATACAGTCAGAAGCATAAAGGAAAGTAACCCTTGAAGTTCCTTGAAAGTTCCTCAGCAAACCCTTGAAGAACACAACACATTGTCTACCATTGACTCCGCATAGAACAGATGTATGTGCAGAATATATTGTTGGGGTGAACGGCACGCACTTTGGAACTGGATTACATGAGTTCAAATTCTGTCTCTTTCATTCAGGAGCTATCCGCTGTAAGCAAGTTATTTTGACTATTTGAGTTCTACTTGGCTCATCTACAAATTGGGATAACAACTCCACTCATCCTAAGGGTCATATTACATAGAAAGCATCACATAGTTCTCTTATAATCCCCTAAATGTCCAGGAATCACAAACTTATGAGTTGAAGCGGTTGGTCATAAAGTAGATGATCTACCATTTCTGCAAGATTTACCGAGTTAAATTGCCCTGATTGGAAGTTGTCTAGTTTTCAAATGCCACCTTCCCTGTGCAGTCAATAGTCTTTTGCTTATTATTTAAAACTTTACTGTTCACGGGGCACACATCACGAAGCCCTTGAATTGCACTTTGGCGATTTTAGTGTGGGGTTTCTGCAGTCCTTTTGGGTTCACTCAGGTTTTTATAAACTTTCTTTATTATCATCACAAAGGAGAAAGAAGGCTTACTTAACTGATGGAATACTTTTAATTAGGGAATAAATGACAATCAACTGACCCTCCTATCACCCATCTGCTCAGCCTTCACACGTGCCTTAAAATAGTAGAATGTTATTAATCTAGAATCCTTCCCACTGGGGAAAGATTTTAAAGAGTCACTCAAATGCTTATTTGGAGTCTGATGGGGAGCTCAATGTGATGAGATTGCCTGAATTTGGGACTTGCTTCAAGTTTTGCTATACATTAATATGAGTGCAGATTTCCTTGGTCCTCTAGGATCCTGTGTTGGACTGAGCCCTTCCTTAAGACCAAAAGGAAAGAAAAGGAAAAGAAGAGAAGAAAGCAAAGGAAAAAGGAAGGGAAGGAAAAGAAAAAGAAAATGGGAAGGAAAAGGAGAGGACAGAGCAAGGAAGAAAAAGTAAGCCCTAAGGCTGTAAGCCTTCTACCCACCCGGGTCCTAGTGCACAACAAGACAGATACACTTCGATGAAGGGCCTCTGGTGGGCAATATGCTGGATAAGTGTCTGGGTTTCTATGTCCTGTGATTGTGATTTTGTAAGTCCAAGGTGAGTAGATATGTCCTAGCCCTCTTGTTCAAGATGTGAACTTTTAAACTTTGACCTAAATCATTGTTTTCCTTCTTGGATGGATCACTACTCCCTCTCTTGCCTAGAAGTTGGAGTTTGCCCCTGTAAACCCAAGTATAATTGCTTTTGTCCTTATTTCAATAGCCTTTGGTCATATTATCAATTTATTGGTGTAAACTTCAAAAATTATTGAAGTAGATGCCAAAAGAATATAAAATAAGGGCCCATTAATCTTTAATTAACATCCACTTTATAGCCAGGTGTAGATAGCCAGTCATTACTAATAATGGCCCTAGATAGACCATTTAGTGGATGGAAAAGACAGAAGTAAGGTGTAAGATGAAAGTTTGTCTCCCCTCCCCCCTTCCTGGGGCCGAACGCAGGCCTTTCACACCGGCTACATGACCAGTGCTTTTCATAAAACCTTTTTTATTAGTACACGTTTGCAGCACACAGTGTGTACACTCCTTGTGTGGAGTTGAGACAGGCACACGACATGTCTGGATTCCTTTTTTCATTTTCTTTCCTTCTCTTCCCCTCCACCCATCTCTTGATCCCCCTCCCATCTGAAAAAGAACCATCTCCCCACTTCCCATCTTTTACTTTGCTCTTTATTTATAATTTGGATCTCTATTTTAAAGAGGAAAAAAAAAACAATAACAAAATATCAACAAAGACAAAAATAAAAGAGCACAAAAACCATAAAAACATACAGAATTTTAAAACAACGTGATAGGAAATTAACAACGGTTGTTAAATTACATATTGTTATCGTCAACGAAGTTGCTCAGATTACCAGGTGTAAGAATGCAGGATTGATCAAACAAGTAAAGAGAATAAAAAATAATTTTAGAAAATATTAAAAACATTAGAAATGATACAGAGCTTCACTAAACAAAATGGTAGGGATTCAACAATGGTTGTTATGCTGCATATTGTTGTCTTCAAACTAGTTATTCAGATTAGCGGGTGTAAGCGTGCAAAATTGGTCAGAAAATTTAAGCACTAACTGTTCCTTTCAATAAACCAATAGACATCAGCAAGCAGTACAATTATTCCAGCTATCGTTGTATATACATACATATATTTTTTTCCTTCTTTCTTTTCTTCTTTCCCTCATCCCAGTTGTTCCTGCCCTTTGAACAATTTCTTTCCTTTTCACAATATTTATTGTACCTTCTGGATTTTATTTACTCTTTCAGATTCTTACACTAGGGAGATAATGTGATGTTTACACATGTGGGTCTGATTTATTTCACTGATGAGTATGGTCTCTAGTTGCATCCATTTACCTATAAAAGCCTGAAGTTTATCTTTTTTATAGCTGAGTAATACTCCATTGTATAAAAATACCACATCTTTTTATCCACTCCTCAGCTGATGGGAATTTGGGTTGTTTCCAAGATTTAGCTCTGACAAATTGTGCTGCTATGAACATGGTTGCACATTTATCATGGTGGGATGAAGTTTTCACTTTTTCTGGAAAAATACCCAGAAGGGGAGTAGCTGGGTTAAGTGGGCCCTCTAATCCTAGTTTTGTGAGAAATCTCCACACTGATTTCCACAGCTATTGCACCAGTCTACACTCCCACCAGCAGTAGAGTGCATTTTTCAGGTAAGAGAAACTCATGTGTCTGATTTATTTCACTTACCATTATGGTCTCAAGGTGCATTCATTTTTCTATAATGACTCATGTTTATCTTTCTTTATGGTAGAATAGTACCATTTCTTATTTTGGATTTGAAGACAGGGTCTTTCAAAGTCAATAAATTGCCCAGCTTGGACTCAAACTTGTGATCCTCCTGTCTCAGCCTCCCAGTATGCTCGGATTACAGGTCTGGGTCACCACATCTGGCTATGGAGTATTTTAGAAGTGCTTATAATGTCTTCTACCAATAGATGTCCTTTCCCAGATTCCTTGACCTGTCTCATTTGCCCTTGTCCCATGGGTCATCCTTTCTCAGAAGTCAAGGAGAAATTCCCAGAGGGCATTGACTTGTCTGTCACCTGGAGACATGGCAGGTTATGAGAGAATACCCCTTTCTACCACTTGGGTCTTGATTTCCCACAGACTACTCCACCTAAAGAGCCAACATAATTTAAGTGTGGACCACATTTGCAGAAAGGTCTCTACCTTATTTCGTATTTGTGGGAGGCATTTACCATTGAAATCAACGCAGTTTGTAGAAAAAAAAAGAAACACCACTAATAATTATCCAGGATAGCATGAACTGGTTTATCCTATATAAATTAGACTGAGTGAATAAGGAATAACTGGGCAATTATGAAAAACTTATTTCTTGCTTGATTTTTTAAAAGGAAAGGAAAAATCAAAATAAGAATTATTGTGTTGCTATAGCATTTAGAAACTGTGCTATGCACTTTTTATCTATGAATTCACTATAATTTCTCTGCTAAATGTGTCATTCCCATTTTACACATGAGAAAACCTCTCCTCTGGGAAAAAAAGACCTTCCCCCCCAGATAGAATATACTGTCTGCTAGGGGAATGCATTGAATAATTAGAAATTATTGAAAAGACCTAATAAAAATGAGTAAATGAACACGTGAAAGAGTGGATGAGTGAATGAATAAAATGTAAAGAACCCAGCACATGTTACCCAGGAGATAAGGAATATCCTGTGCATACGTTCATCTGGGTTTGCAGAGATTTGACAATTTGAAAATGTTTAGACCTAATTTACATTTTCTGTATCTATTTTACTTTTATAGCATCATAAAAACGATATTAAGTCCCAGCAGGTAAGAAAGCGTGGGACTATTGCTGTGGGCAATTTCTCTAAATGGAAAAGCAGATACTTTCTCAGTTCATATATTTGAATAGCTGAAAGGACTCTTGTACTTTCATTTGGTTGTTTCACTCCTGCTCGTGTATTTTAAGGAAATGGAGCTGGGCCTTTGAGAAGAGTGGTTGAAGCAGGCTTCCTTGGGCAGGAGGTTGAGGTCTGTGACTGGAGGAGTCCCTCTGTCAAGGGCAGTCCCTGACAGAGGTTCAGAAGCTGTGTGACCTCCAGCACATCACTTTATCCTCTTAAGGTGCTCTTTTCCCATAGGAAAAATGAGTACTGATAACTCTTTCCTTCTTTACAGTGGCTGGTTATTATGAGAATCAGTGTAATGCTGCTGCAGCTCAGAGCACCTCACTTAACTATGAAAGATGAACTATAAAAGACATTGCAGTCAGTCCTACAGCCCTTGGGGATCCTGTGAGGACCTCATTATTTATTTATTTATTTATTTATTCATTCATTCATTCATTCATTTATTTATGTATTATCTCTTAACTGGGGATTGAACCCAGGGTCTTTGCGCTGCACTATATTACCAACACTTTTTATTTTTCTATTTTGAGACCAAGTCTCTGTAATTCACTTGAGTTTCCAATGCTGAGCTTGCAATTGGGATTGTCCTGCCTCAGTCTTCTGGAGTGCTGGGATTCTAGGCATTTGCCATCATGCTGGGAAAAGACTTGCTCTCTGGGAAAGTTGTCCTTCAGGGATCCACTCTGCCTTTAAAATAATTCATAGAAGCCAGTTATGTTGAGTGGATTTCTTTTCTCCATGTTCAGTGAGGCACTGTCTGGTTGACAAGATGCCACACATACTGAGTATGGCAAATAGACCCCAAGATGGCCCCGATTATTGCATTTCTCAACGCTCATGATGCTCATGTTGATATGCAGTTCTTTTCCCCCAGTGGTGGGAACTGTGATCTGCTCCTAAGAGAACACAGCAAAGGTGATCATGTGTCCTGATCGTGTGTCACTGCTATGATTCTGGTACATTAGATTAGCTGACTAATCATGATCATGTTCCAAGTTATTAGCTGACTCCACCTGCTGACTCCCTTTTTTGCTGGGCTTTGATGGAGTGTAAGCTGCTACAGTATTGGAGAAGCCACATGTCAAGGAACTGGGGGCAGCTGCTGGCCAGGAGCCAGTAAAATGATGCCTCAAGATAGCCCACAGCTGAATTCTGCCCCCCACCATGTGAGCCTAAAAGCAGTGGGACCTCAAGTAGAAATGGAGCCCCAGCCACCACCTGGATTGTAATCTTACAAGAGACGCAAGGGCTTCTAACCAACTGAAATTGTATGAGAGATACTAAGTATCTGTTGTTTTAAGTTGCTGAGCTTGTAAAAATATGACTATATAGTGATAGATGATACACTAGATGATAATGATCATGATCATATACTTTTGAAGATGGATATTTGTTAGTTATTTCATATAAACGAGCATTTTATAAATGAAGTCAATCATTTATTCACTCTCATATTGATGAAGTGAGCTCAATGCACTCTCTTAATAAGATAATGCATGCAAAGTTCTTGGTATGGTGGTGTTCCTTGGTAGATTCTGTCCTTAATTTCAGCATTGAATGGAATTTAATTGAACTTGACAGGCAAATGGCAGGGGAAGAGTATTTATGAATGGAATGGACAAAATCAAACCCCAGTAGTGGTTGGCTTTGCTTTCATTTTATTGTGATTACATTAAATTGAGTTATCTAGCTATTGATTAAATCAGTTCTGTCTAGTAAAGCCAAGTCTTTATAAAGAAAGAGATAAATGAGTTGGGTATACATATCTGGAGGCCTTCCAGCTTTCTGAAAGGGCTAAAGGATGCCATGTTAATGACCCTAATATGCATGTTGTTCAGATAGAATAATCTTATTCGTTCAGTATTTATTGAATACCTAGTGTATGCCTGGCACTTGTTGTCCTGTTAAGTTTTTAATTTTTTTCTTTGAATAAAAA